TTTTATATCCATACCATTAGGAATTATCACCCTAATAATTACCATTTATTTGTTATATATCGAGTTGTAGATTCAGATCTAAAAGATGCTTGATAGAAAAGGGATATCTATAAATGGTTTGTGAATAATAACCCCAGTCCCTTGAATCTTCCAGACAGGCATGTTCTAGTTGGCAATCACAGAGATGCCTGGGTGTTTGGAGCGTTAGACCCCTCCAGTGGAACAGCAACTATGTTGGAGGTCACCAGAGCATTCGGCAAGCTCAAGAAGGCTGGTAATATGTATAGTGATTAATATTTCTCTTCCACAGAATTCAATTACATACTATGTGCAGCACATTTCATTGGCATTTAATGCTCACACATAATGCTGCGATTTATAATTTTTATCCTAGAAAATAAATAATAAAATGTTCAATTACATACATTTGGCAACACAGGATATGTACAGTTTATTTGTAATGGTTATTAAAACACAAGGTCTTGGCAAAGGGATATGCACTAACAAAATGGTATCTGTATATTCAAGGTTGGTCTCCCAGACGGACCCTGAAGTTTTGCAGCTGGGGTGCAGAGGAATATGGATATCCAGGTTCTACAGAATGGGTAGAGGTCTGTGAAGTTTTCTAAAATAGAAATTAGATGTTACAAAATTTCTTTTTTCCTAAGTATATATAAAAACCCTTCAGAATTTTGATAAAATGTGTACTTTTATTCTACAGTATTTTATAAAAAGATTCCCCACAAAAATTGAAAAAGATCTGGAGTCAAGGTATGATTAGTAAATATTGAAGAGAAACTGAAAACTGAAGAGAAAAATCATGCAAGGAAAGTGAACATTACCAATGTAAGACTTAAATTCTTCCTTTTTTTCCTTTTATTATTTTTTCTGTCATTATAATTCTTCATTTTGTTGTTTCAGGAAAACATGAAATCACTGCTGACTCAAGCTGTGGCTTACTTAAACTGTGACACTGCTGTCAGAGGTGAGTGTTTGTGTCCAGGCACCTGTAGCTTACCTTATACTATGACTCGCTGTGACATGTGAGTGTTTGTGTCCAGGTAGTTGTGACTTACTGAAACTATGACACTGTTGTCAAAGGTGAGTTTGTGTCCAGGTAGCTGTGACTTACTGAAACTATGACCTGCTGTGCAGCCACATGTTAGTGTTTGTGTCAAAGTATGACTTTGACATACCTTGTTTCTTCAGAGTCAACTTGAGTTACAGATAATATTGGAAACTTTCACTATCAGCATGGCTTTTTCATTTTCAGAGATGATAGAGATTAGTTTCCTGGAGTGATCTTGCAACTACTATGCAGAAATAGAGGAGATTGGATTTGGATGAATTTTTAAATCTTGTGTTTCAGTTTTAGGCAGTTTACCAAGATATCAGATGTTTTAGACCACCAGCTACTTTCTTTACTTCTAATTTTTATCTTGAGGTAGACAAATATTTTCAGTTTTAAAATGAAGATCAACTCTGGGTCTTTAGCTCTTTTGTGATACTAAAATCTCCCAGAAACTCACACAATGCAGATCTGTTAATTGAATTATAATGCTATAAGTTGAATTTAATTATGTCTTGGATACATGTTTATTAAATTCAAATTCCATTTATTTGTCTGCAGGAAATTATTCTTTTAGAGGAAGGGCCTCCCCACTTTTGAAGGAGGCAATGTTGTCTGCCACAAAGAAGGTATTTTGATTGTATAACCGTATAATTATGTACTTGTTCAGTTGCAAGTGTCTCATTGAATTGTGAGAATGACTTGTGATAGAAAAAGATATTATAGATCTTGTTTAATCTTTTAGCTAGTCCACATAACTCTAAAGTCCATCATATTTAACTTGCTCTTATATAGGTTTAGTACAAATATTGCTTTGTCAAAATCTGTTATATGTGATGAACTGATTGAATTATTTTTCATGAACTCTAAATTTCAGGTCAAAGACCCACACAATGCTGATATTACAGTACATGACACTTGGGCAAAATATGATCCAGCTGGAGGCACATTAAATGAGCCAAGGTGATATGCTAGTATTATATTTTCAGTGAAGATATTTGAAATCATGAAAAACAAACTGCTTACATTGTTACTGAAAAATTACAGATTTACGATTAATATGATACAGACATAACTGTATTAGTATTTGTTAAGCAAATCTTACACAATGCAAAGAGGCAATTGAATAAAAACAGATTATGTTTAAACAGATAAATTGATAATATGTCACTCTTATTTGAAAGCAGTTTGGTATTTTATTTGCCTTGGTGGATTGCTAATCTGCCTGGATTTGCATTTTGCTTACTGCATTTTCATGTGTATTAGGGTAAATGTTCTTGGTGCTGGCAGTGACTTCACCCCCTTCATCCAGCATGTTGGAATCCCTGTTACAGATCAAACATATACCTACACTGTGAGTACTCATATTACAAACATACAAAAGTTGGTGAAAAGATTGAAACTTTGTAATCTCTGTCTCTATCAGTTGTATAAGTTGTATAAATACTACAACATTGTCATCTCTAATAAAATTACCTGGAATAATGAATCTACATTGCTTATGTTAAAAAACCAGTCTGATTACTTTCTTTTCTGGAAGCATTGCAGTTTTTTTTTTCACATATTTGCATTTTCAATGTGGGAAGTAGAACTCCCATGGGCATGAAGCCAAATGGTAATAAAATTTTCTAAATGTCCATGTTTTGTGCAGTAGAAAATAACAATTGGTGTTGATTTTGCTGTTAATCATTATTAATATTGCATCAAAATTTGCACAAATTTGTACTGCCACCACAAATGTTATGAAAAATAAACTGTTTTACTTATTACTTTATAACTTACAAGAATGATTCTTAGGATTGACATGCGGCTCAAATTGGAAAACCAGCTTGATAGCATTATCATTTTTTCTTGAATTAATGCAATTTTTTGTGAATTTTTCATTTTCTCATTCCAGCATTTTCAAAGTGTGATCTTGAACTCTCATGGGCCTTAAGCCTTATGCTAGTTACATATTTTTCTACAGCTGTACGTATTACCTGTTGTCCATAGTTAAAATTTGGTGTTGTCTCTGCTATTAGGCATCATGTATTATTGCATCAGAATTGACGGTAACCTATTTTGTACATCATAATTTTCTGCTTTTTGTCTGTACATTTGACAGATTTGCTGCCTTGTTTGAATTTGATAATATTCTTTTGAATTGTTTTTAATAAAGAAAACTGTAATCAACTGGCAACAGATAGTGTTAATTTCATTAATTTTTTTCACAATTTGTATTTATCTGTTTCAGAGTGCATGGAAAATATCTTCTTACCCTGTATATCATTCGGTGTATGAGACATTCGAAATCATGGAGAAGTTTATTGACCCAGATTTCACCTGCCATAAAGCAGTGGCACAGGTCTTGGCGGAACTGGCACGAAACTTGGCAGACTCCCTGCTGCTGCCTATGAACCCTGCAGATTATGCTTCAGCTATAGAAACATTCGCCAATGCTTCTCTTTCAAGTTTTCGAGGAATTTTTACAAAGAAAGATGGGATAAGTTTTGGTGAGTTTATAGAGTAACAGGATATAAGCAGTACTAGCAAATACATGTACTTGTGAAAAAGTCATTTGAAAGTTTCTGAAGTAGTGAATATATGGTACATGCATATGTGTGCAGGGAATCAACACTGTTAATGCTATTAGATTTAAGGTATGATTCCTATTCTCTGTCAAATAATCTGTTTATATTTTGTATGCTATATATTCTTTTCTTTTCCTTTGATTATTTGATATAAGTCTAAATACTTTTGTATAAGCTGTGACAGAATATAGTTGATGACATTTGATGTTTTTTTACCTTATTATGGATATACAAACAAGAATCTGATACTATCTATACATATTGATGAATTTGACATCCTCTCTTTTTTTTTTCTTTTTGTCTTAGATGGTTTATATTCTGCAGTAAAAAACTTCACAAGTGCTGCAAATGAATTCTCAAAGAAGGTTGAAAATGTGGACAAAAACAAGTAGGTCTTTTTATTATATACAGAGAAAGGGGGAAAGGGAACAAGAGCATGGGATTATATAAATGAGGACATTTTTGCCCCCATCTCCCTTTTTCCTATCCTGGATCCACTAGTGCCAAACTAATTAAGTAGCATATATTTGGTATACAAGAGCCACAAATTGATTTTCACTGAATATTCACAGATAAACCGTATAAGTCCTGATGTTTTTTTTCCTTTTTCTACTGTGTCCATCAAGAATTTTGGTATAAAGAATTAATTTTATCACTCAGTTGGCCTCCAGTATAGTGTATAGATCTGGTGGTGTTTTGGAGTGCACAAGTTATGTAGGATGAATACAACATATCATATCATATCATATCATATCATATCATATCATATCATGTCATGTCATGTCATGTCGTCATGTCATGTCATGTCGTCATGTCATGTCATGTCATGTCTCATTATTGTTAGTATTACATGTACTATCCTAATTTTTAGTCCTCTTGCAATACGTGAGATCAATGACCAAATGTTGATGTTGGAGAGAGCTTTCATTGACCCCCAGGGTCTCCCAGGTAGACCTTTGTTCAGGTAAGATATACAGGTGACAGGCATGGTTATGGGTTGCCTGGTATCACAAGGACTGAGGCTGGGTTTCATGGAGAACTTGAAAGAAGATGAGAAAGTAAGAGCGCATTCTCAACGAATTAAGCCAGGCTTTACAAAGCCGGTGACCTAAAAATGGCCGACGTACATGAAAGAAAAACCGCCTAATCTTTTAATAGTCTCTCCGCCTCTCACACGCCTCCCCACATGTCGTCCCTGCTGGGTACAGTAATTAAATCTCGGCTCCGAACATTAATATTTCCGTGAATATCTCTGGTGATATTATCTCCGTAGATAGTCGATTCATTGCTGCTCTACGGGCCAAATTATTCCTTTTTCGTCTCTGTTTTCAAAGATAATAGAACAGAAGAGCTTTTTTCCTTCGATCGCCTTCAGCCGCCATGCTTTCTTCACCACGAGTTTAACTGATGAGCATGCGCACTTAATATTTCTCAGGTAGCTTCCGCATGGCGAACGGAG